ACAAAAATGATGCCCTCAAGAAATTACTGATAGTCAGGGAGGCCCCAAAGCATGGCCTATACAACGAAAACAGAAAACTGAAGATCCAAGGTTGAGATGGCAGGATGTAGTCAGAAGAGAAGACACCACTGAGCAGAACAGGTAGAGAAGGAAGGTCCAAGGTTTTGTGACACTAGAAGCTGAAAGGAGAAAAAAAGGACTTCCACCATTGAGTTGACAGTAATATTTACTCCATTTATGAATGAAATCAGCATGTTGTAGGTTTGAGAGTAATTTGGAACTTTCCAAAAAGCACGACAAGAAATACTACAGTATGGAGGCTTTAATTTTCACACTAAGACTATGTTCACACGAGCGTGGACTTTTGTTTCCGCAGGGACAACTAGAAGTGGGACACCTTGTACTGCTGCTGCTTGTCCCCAGGGAATGCCTGTGCCATGTGCCCTCTGGCACATAGCAGGTTACCCCAGGTCGGGTAGGAGAGGCTTGGGGCCAGCACTGGACTGGCCCCAGCAGCCTTACCTGGGTTCCTGGGGACCTCCAGGGGCAGCAGCAGCTGCTATCCTGCCGCTTGAAGCCTAGACAGCAGCTGGAGTGTGGTTCTGGCCAGCCAGGCTCTGGTTTTGGGTGGTGCATGCTGTCGCTGTGTGTACCGCACTCCTTTTTTTTTGAGTGAGTTTTTTTGACCCTGGATCTCCTAGGATCAACCCTCCCCCCCAACCCTCTTCCCATGCTGCTACCTTGCATCACAGAGAACACCAGAATGTGCAGTATGGTGTCCCGTGAATGTGTCTGCAGCACCACATACCACATGGCTGTTCTCATCAGGCCGTGGCCTAAGTGTCCAAATTTGGACACAGCCTACATTGCTGTCATGGCAGTGACAATATAGGCTTGGTACTTGCCCAATATCCTTTTGAATAGGTGTAAACATTTCTTAAGTACATCAATAACTTATAATATCTTGCCATTAAGTAGCACTGACCTTGCCCTACAGTTACAGGAAAAGTATGCTGTGGTTCAGGTATTCTTACTATAAATGGAAAGTACCCTTAGCCTTCTTGTTTAGTGTCTCAATGCTATGCTAAGGGGAAAATCCCCATTAATGTAACATTGAGTATTAAAATTAGAACCTTAGCACTGGGTTGAGGAGTTTGCATTCTTGTAAGTTTTAATTCTGCTATCATCAGCTTTCAGCTAATTCACTTGTCCCAACTGCCTCAGAAGGAAATTGCTGGTGTTATTTCCAGTTTGCAGTTATTGAGCTCGCTCTTTCAGTTATAGCAGTCAGTACCCCCCCCATATAACAGGTCCTAAGATGATGGATTTGGTTTTGTTAACTAGTTATTCGTATGCAGATGGTTCAATGCAGAGAGTGGTAGAAATTAATGAATTACCTTAGATCTGGTTTCCAGACCTAGCTCCACCATCTGCCTACTACACAAGTAATCTTAATCTTCCATCCTCAAGTTACTGCATATTCAAGTATGTCTTGGAGGTTCATAGTATTTGTCTTTAAGGGAAGATGGAAGTGAAGTCTCATTATGTACAGGTAGATACCCCTACCATCCTGCAAACTCACTCTCCACTGGAAGAGGTGGGAATGAAAATATTTCGGGCTTTTGCCCACTTTTCAAGTAACGGCATTCTTGTCAGGCAGGACTAGAAGTCCTAGCTATAAGTAATGAACTTCATTTGGTCACTGTTAATGAGTAGGGCATAGTGTATGTCCCATCTAGATGGATAAAATGCTGAAATAATTTAAATAGTGGTTGTTCTGGTGACAAGACTAAAAAGGCACATGTCCACCTATGTCTACTCCGACATGTGCTAATTAATTAACATGCTCTAGGAGCCTCTGCATCATGCCTATTCAGTGTCCCCGTGCTTCAAAATGGTTGGGGGGGACGGGACAGTTGAACTAAAAGTCAAATGAGCTTTGGTTTACATGCCCCATTTTGAAGCACAGAACATCGATGAATACACGTGATGCTGCAGGTACTTTAATTAGAGCAGGTCTCAGAGCCGCTATAATTAAAACACCCTCCTCAACCCCAGAGCATGTGTATAGATGCCCAAAGAGACTTAACATAAGCTTCCCCTGTCTAAGGGCTACAAGGGGTTGCATCTTCTAAAACAGCAATATGTGTAGGAAAAGCAGTGCTACAAAACTGCCAATCTTATCACTGGATTTTCAAAGCAGCCAGCAAAAATTTACAGATTTTTCCAGGTCTGCAGATCACTGAAGTGTGAGCAAGAGGCCAGAGAAAAGAGGACAAGATATTTATGTTTCTGCTGCAGGAGGAAGCTACTGAGGTCTTGCCTTGCTTAGTACCTAATTTGGAAAAAAACCCAAGATAAACCTAATATAAAAAGGAAAACATTCTCAGCTTGTGAAGATAAGAGTTTGGGGTTAGCACCAGCCATGAGGTACATTATAAATACTGTTTTGTGCAAATTTTCAGTGACAGTAGCTCTAAATGGCAAATGGCAGTGTGGTGCTTTCAGAGACATTCTGGTTACAGAACTGCACTACTTTCGCGCGCGCGTGCGTGCGTTTATAAATATATATATAAACTGAGACACAAAGACAGAACATACAAAGGCTGTCTAATAGCCCCAAAGCCAACAGAAGAGAGGCTGGCAATGCAGAGCTACTTCATAAAGCATGATTTACACTAAACTCAAAACCCTACTTTCTGCTACAGCAGTTCTGCAACAGCTGCAAAGTTCCATGCTGTGCTAGCAGCTATCACTGGGTTTTCAGTAGCTCTCTGCTGACTTTTGTTTTGCCTTTGAGAGTCTTTACAGCACAGCACAGCACAGCACAGCACAGCACGTGAGATGCAAGGTAACCTCAGGACTACAGTGAGTGAGTGACATCCCAGTCCATCAATCTTCTTACTGAGAACTCCTTCCCCTACTCTAAACTACTGTGATACAACTACTTTCTTCCATACCTTGCTCCCAATTCTATCTCCAGGTTTCAGTGCAAGGTGATTGGGACTATAGCTAGGAAGGAGCCTGAGATTAAAGCTGTTAATTTATGGAAACTAATAATTTTATTTTTTATATAGAGAAGGAATAATCTTTATTGCGGACTATCAATATAAAGACAGAACTCTGTGGCTGGCACATGACAGCTTGCAGTTGGTATGGGTAGGTCTTATTGAAAGCAGGGAAAAGATAAATACTAGGAGATTAAGTGAATGGAGAGATGTACGGAGCCACTCAGTGGTAGAGCTGTGTAGAGCCTCAGGAGAGATAACGGACCTGAACATGTTCAAGTTTCTTGGCGCCAGACTTTTAGACATTATGGAAGCCTCTTCCCTTTGAAAACCTCCCATTCATTATTTCTCCATTAAGTGGAGAGTAGGACAAGGGTACTGGGTTAGTTTAAGGCTTATCTTACATCTCTGTGTCAAAAGGTGGCTTCCGCTTGGCATAATTCTTCCTCGACAGAAGAAATCAGTATTCAAAAACAAAAACCAATGTAATCATACAGCTATTGGATCCAAGGCCCAGCTGTGCTTACTGCATTAGGGGAGTACAGCAGAGAGATCTCAATTCCTGTTGAGATATACAACTTGTTCACCCCGTGTAGCAGATTTGCTGCAGGTGGGCAGTAGCCCACTTAAGACTTGAAGAGGTTGTTTTCTGTTTTAGTACAAAAATATTTCTAAAAAAGCGAGGCAAGTCAACAAATTACCAGAACATTTTGAAAGGGGACCTGATGCACCTTATTTTCTGTCTTTAATGGGTGCAGTTCTACCGTGCAAGCTGTTTGGTACTGCATTTCAACAGGGCAACGGCTGAACTTCAGTAGTAGATAAAGTAATCCTTAGAGGTGCACCGATATATCGATCCGTATTGTATCGGCACTGATAAAAGGAAAGTCGATATCACTGACAATCCATTCTGCTTTTTCTGCCTGATACTGTTGCCGATAAATGCTGCATGCACACAGACAAGCATGCAGCCTGGCAGCTTGGACAGCAGTGTCTGGCTGGTAAGTTTTTTGGGGGTATGCAGATCAAGGCCCCTGTGGTGCAGGAGGGAGTGGGGCTGGGGCATGGGACAAAGCTGGCAGCTCATCTGGGAGTCTTGGGGGGGGGGGGCTGCTCCCACCACTGTGCACACCCCTAGGAGGGGCATGTGCCCCCCATATCTGTGTGCAGGGTGAGGGCGGGCTGCCTGCTGTGTACTTGGGGTCGGCACCATTCTCTTCCCAACAGCTGTGCTTGGGACGAGCAGCAGCAGCACAGGGAGGAGGGCTATGGGGGAGCTACAGTGAATTTTGGGGTAGCTGCAGCTCCCCTGTGGCCCCCCCATGTCACCACCCCCTGCCCCATCTCAAGTGCAGCCACTGGGAAGAGGCTGGTGCCAGCCCCGAGTGCACAGCAGGCAGCCCGCCCTTGACCCACACACAGACTGGGGGAGGGCATGTCTCCCCTGGGGATTCGTGCATCAGCAGGGACTGCTCCCCACGCCCCCTGGACAAGGCACCGGATCCATCCTGCACCCTGCCCCAGCCCCACTCCCTCCCTCAATCTACACCTCCATACCCCTTCCCCCTCAAAGATTTACCAGCCAGACACTGCTCTCCAAGCTGCCAGGGTCTATATTGGCAATTAGATTGGTATTGGCCGATATGGAACTTGGTATCGGCCCAAAAAATCTTTACTGATGCTCCCCTAGTAATCCTGCTGCACTTAGAAAGTATTCTGGGATGAAGCCACTACAGATGTAAAATGAGCAAGATGAGCAGCAAATGAAAGACAAGTTGTGCTCCATACAGACCTGTTAGTGAATGCGACTCACTGTTACATTTAAACGTAGGGATCATCAGCCATGCATTCCACTTACAAATATGGTTCATCTCCTTCATATCCATATTTCCTTTGCAGTTAGAAAACAATTTCTGGGCCAAAAATGGTTGACTTACAGGTTTTTTTTAATAAAGTAAGCAAATAAATGTGCTATTTTTGTCACACATAGGATAAAATTCCAGGAATTTATTGCTACGTGTTTTCTGCATTGACGTATCTTACAATACTCACAAAGTGCCAACTTCTAGTTTAAAACTTTGTGCAACAGTTAACATTTCCTTTATTTCTGTCCAAATGCCATGTTACAGTGGGCTTGTGCAGCAATGTAGCAGCAGTTACAAAACATTGAGTATTTTTCTTAGGAGCTTAAAATAAAGATCTGTATACAAGCTGAATAAAAAGATGCTCAGTTAACAGGTCATTTAGCAACTTTAATAAAACTTCTTTAGTTGGAAGTTCTGTAATGCTAAAATTTACAACTCAGAAGTAAACACTTTCACCCCCATTGTAGTAATGAAGTTCTCATTCTGGCCAAGGATGAGAAATGCAATTTATCAACGTCACAAGTAAGATCTGCTTCATTTCTAAGAGAAGCAAAGTTGGAAATCATAAGCAAGGAGAGGCTTAGCAGACTAGAGCTGTCAGCCTGTATTAAAAACACCTCCAAGTTTGGCAGAGGAAGTATGTTTACTACCTTTACTTTTAAGTACACGCACTGTTCCTCCCCTCCCACCAAGCACACAGTATAAATCCCATTTCCTTTAATTTATTATAGCCTCAGTATTATTTACAGGACTGCTACAGATAAAGTACAAACTAGTATGAAATTAATGACAGCTTGCATCTTCAGATATGCATCCAATGGCTAAATAAATACCAAGCCAATCCAACAGAATGACCAGGAGTTATGATTCAGAAGCATGTACCTCTGTGACCCCAGTTGTTTTCTCACTGATCGTAGTGGATTCATTTAATCTGTCAGCAGTAGTCACCTTAGAAGTAGGGGTACTAGTATCTAAAGTGAATAGAGAGGTTTGTTCTGTGCTTACAGTAGTGCCAGGGTCAACTGCTTGAGTGACAGAAGAAAGCAGATCTGTAGGTGGAGTAGATACATCTGTGATCAAAGGGAACTGTGGAAGTAATTCAGGTGGCATTGTTATCCCAGATAGATTGAGAGGAGGCATGGAAGAAAGGGATGGCAAACCTAGAAATAAAAAGTAAACTGAAGTCACACACCACTTTAAAACAAAAAGGTGAAGCTTTTCCTTGCCTATTCTCTTGTCTATTATGAGCTATTGTTCTGCTCACACTGCACTTTGTGAAAGCACAATCGAGATGTAGACTCAAGAGCAACTCAGAAGGCTAGTTTCAAAGCCTTAATTTAAGTATATACTGAAAGTCAAAAAGTCTGTGGATAAAAGTGTTAATGACAATAGACTCTGAGGTAACCAGCCTACATATACCAGAGTGTATATATTTTTTAATGTATTTGTACTACTAATGAGACTTTTCCCACACAAGTTGACGCTGGCAGAAGCAAGAACTCAACAGAATCCTTATTCTGCTTAAGCTTCCAATTTTCTTGGTTACTGAAAATACATACTGAGCAAACAGTTTTATCCAGGGCCATCAATATGGAGTTAGTCAGTACTTTCTGGCATTTAATCAGGTGGTTTCGATCTCCCCGTCTACTATACAGAAAATATGAACAGTGTCTTTCACTGTGCCCTCCCACATGACTATATACATGCCCCTAATTTTCATAACAAAGTATTTTTGAAGACCATAAATCAGAACAAAGAAAAAACCCATATCCAGACACCTGAGACCAGGAAGATTAGATTGGAGTGGATTATCTTGGGACATTCCATAACTAAACAGAATTGCTTACTGCTGAACGATGGGGGCACTACACCTATTCACCTCTAAGCTCACTCAAAGACTCATCTCATGCTCTGCAAAACTAGACCCATGAACATATAGGTTCCACATTATTACAAAACCAAGCATCTAGTCAGCTTTAAGCTGTACACTTTCATAGGTCTGCAAAAGTTTAATAGTTGTAATGCTGAAAGCAGTAAGAGGCCTACCAGGCTGCATGATGTCTGACAATCCTGCGCCGGGAATTATGTGCGGTGCAGGTAAATTAAGATTGGGCAGATTGGCTAAATTGGGAAGTCCAGCTGGTAATGGCATCAGACCTAAAATTCAAAAGGGACAGACAAATTACAAATGTCAAGAGTGAGTGCCAAATAATTTAAATATTCTTTCATAATTCCTTTAGTATGATCGTTACCTGCTATTCCATTTGTAAAGTGAAACTAAAATTTTTGACTCCTGTTGAAAGGTGCTTACCCAAAATGTAGTAATATCAGGAGTTAGGGCACTGTTCCCATTTCTATTTTACCCCAAAGAAAACATTTTGTATTCAATGGCTTAATTCCCAGAACAAACAAAAAAAGAGCTGAACTAAACAGCTATGGATCTATGTTGCACTTTTGTGCTCTCACAACATTATCTGGGCAAGCTAATTAGAAAAGTAGCACAAATTTGTTACATATAATTAACTCAACTGCAGGTGCTACCATTTGCTTTAAAAACAAAACCAGAAAAGGCTGCAGTCAAATATACATGATATTCAGAAATTAGAGAAGCCTTTAAAATAATTTGCAGAGTCAAGGGTTATACACACAGTATAACAATGGCATTAACATGGCATATTTATTCCCATGCTGTTCTGTAATTTAAGCTCTGTCAAAGTTTGTCTTCCATCTCTCATTTTCTTCCCAAAGAGCGAAGGATATTTGGGACAAGATCCATACTCCCGTGCTTGCAAAGTATTTCTCTCAATGAGGCCTAGTACTGAAACAAGTTGCTGTTGTAGCAACAAAAACTTATTTGGGTCTTTCCTTCCACTGTTCCTATTAAACAGATGTTTTTAATAAAAAAATAGATATAAAAAGTACTAGCCTCATAAATAAGTTATTAAGCAATTAAAAAGGGATAGACTCTCTCCAATTTACAAAGACAGTTTTCTTTTCAACTACAAGCTAAGATTAGTGTGACTTTTACATAGGACACTCATAACAGTAAAGCCTATTTTTAGCTGCAAAATAGTTTTTATAGGGTTTTTTTTTGTTTGTTTGGTTTTTTTAACAGTTTCACTAGTACAAGCATTTATATAGAAGCAGTTCTCCTGTTGTTTTCAAACCCACGCTTACACTGTTTTGGGAGCACAAATTGACAGGGTAATTAATGTTCATACTCTTTTATTTAATAAAAACTACACTTTTTAGTGGTTTAACATTTTAACTTTGTAGTACAGGTATTTAGGATTTGTGAATGCTACACAAGCACTTCGCTCTATTACACTTTTCTCCTATATTGAGATACTTTGCCTTTAGTTATTTGTTTTAGTTACAGTAAGTCTTCAAGATTTGTCAGCTTTATCAGCAGGTAAAAATAAATTATAACTTCTCTTATATTCCAGGATTCACAACTGCATCTTATACCAAAAGTATGACAGAATTTACCACAAGTCACACATTGTCTATCAAACCTGTCAAAACCTTATTTCAGAATACAAAGACTCAAGTGGTTCATTAACCTGAGGAAATAAAAACATTTTAATGCAGCAGGATGTGTAAAAAAAAAAATCACTGTTAAATTAATACATTGTGGAAATAGAGCTGGTCTGCCACTGTAAGTACAGGAATTCCAAAATGTTAAATATAATGAAATCAAAACTACACATTTTATGGCAGATAGCCTAACGGATAGTTCTACATCAGTTAAGCAATGAACTGTGGGGTTCTTTTGCACCAAATCATGCTAGAATGACTAACAAAATCAACTGCTAAAATATTCCCTTAACCATATGCAGAATTTTATTACAATGAATAAGCTAATTCAGTGCAAGTATACAGTATGCAGTAAAAGCTTTGTTATTCTGCATCCCCTGGGAATGGGGGATGCCAGATAACAAAATATGCTGGTTAATTGAGCGGCCGCAGCGGCCGCTTCTGTGGTGTCCCTTCACCCCTCTCACAGCATCGCCGCCCCTCCCGTGGAGCCCACCTGTGGGACAGGGAGACGGGCCCCGCACAGCCTGTTATGCCCCCGGGCCACAGGGGCTCAGCAGCTCAGGCTGCTTTGCTCTGAGCCATGGGGGCTCAGAGAAACCGGAAGTGCCATGGTGGGCACTTTCGATTTCACTTTATCTTACAAGCAGCATGCCGGTTAGTGGAGCATACCAGCTTGTAAGATGTCAGATAACAGAACTTTTACTGTATATGTATTCATGTGTAGGCTAAGCACACACAGCATGCTGCAACACATGAGATTACAAGATGATCAAACACATGACATGAGTCAGCATAGTTCATAGAAAGAACACTTCCAAGTTCACGCCATACCTTTGTCTCTTTTGAAGCCAGAAAACTTCCCTGTGTTATGCGTTTAGCTATCGCATATAGCAGTATTTGTGATAAACTCTGCTAACAGCACAGGTATCTTAGCCCCAGATCCATCAGTAGTTCAGAGGTAGCAGTTTAGATGCTCTCCATCATTTTAGTTGCCCTCTAAACACCAAGGGAAGAGTGGCTTCTCAGCCTGTCTTGCATGTAGCAGTCCTACCCCTAACTTCCAAGAGTTGACCAAAAAAAGTCAAGAAATGAAAGATCTGACTTGGCATGAAGAAACACTTGGAGTTCAGGCATTAAATGGCAGTTAAAGAACATAATTTTTAAAACCTGAAAGGTTTTAAATACCAAGAAGGAAGACAATTCAGTTGTTACATGTGGGTATATAATGAAGAATGCAGGTAAAATGTTGATAGGGTATCAGGAAAGGGTTCTGACAGTAAGGACTTTCTAGGGTGTGAAAATCCTATTGCTTGGGGAATGTATGGATTACATCAGGTGATATGTTAATTGATATGTTAGTAGGGAATCATTTTTCATTGGCCGTCTATATATATCCCTGCGTGTGTGCATATATTTATCTATCTGGATAAATCATGCTTACTGCCCACATTTGCGCCTTAAAGCACATAGAACACATCATGACAAAGCACGACTAAACATTTTATTTTCTTATTAATTGGGCCAGAAGAGACAAACCTCCCTTTCCTTCCCAACATTTTATACTACGTAAGGTTATTTGATATGTTTAATGTCATTACCTGGTAATGTCGTCGCTGGATTAACTGATGGCACTGAAGGGATAGACTGACTGACTTGTGGTGACAGTAATGGTACTGTTGGGACACCTAGTGAAATATACAAATTATATACCATCATTTCTATTATTCCATTTCTATGTATGCATCATTTCATCCCATGTCTCAAAGGACAGCTAACAGGAGAATCTGGGGGGGGGGTGTTAAACAAAGATTCATATAATTCTCCTTTTCACCTTTTATTCTACATCAATTTGTGCCACTTTTGTAAGATATGTGATACAAGCAACTTTGAACCCAAGATGTCAGCCAATTTGGAGCCCCTCATCTTCAGGCAAAAAAATTATTATACAACATTTCCCCAAAGGACTCTGATGTTAAATGCATTTGGCCCTGATTACCAGAAAATAATTGTGGGGGAGAACAAAGGGAAGATATCTACAAATCATATGACATTTCTATGAACAGCTTTTTTCTTTAGGAAATTAACTGAGAAATCCATATTTCTGAATGACAGAAAATCAACAAAGTATTAATGCATTTCAGTAGGGAACTATTTTTATACATACCTGTATTGAGTACAGTGCTGATGGTGGTAGGAGTTGAACTAATGGATAGTCCTGACAGACTCTGTTCAAGTCCTACTGTTCCAGGTGGTATTGTCAGTGGAGGATTAACTGAAGACAACTGAACCTTACCAAAACAGACAAGTCTTAGTGCTTGTACTTTTGTTTTCACTGTAATCCATGATGAAAGTATAAATGTTGCTCTACTTCAGTAACCACTTAAGCCACAGAAATCATTAAAACTTACCTCTGTAAAACCATCTTTAAGTGGGCTGATAGGTGCACTTGGCAACTGTCCTGGAAGAGAAATTTTCTTTCCCTCTTCAAAAGGACGTGTAGGTATCCGATGTAAATACCCATAGCCAATGCCACAGCCTAGGCTTTTAAAATATGAACATTTAAAAATTAGACTGACAAGCCAGTCTGAACTTAAGCCATATTATCACTGTGGACCCCACAACAACAAATTTAACAATGAACTTGCCTCAGTGGAAAGGAACCACTTCTTTCACTCCTAAAAACACAAGTCTTGCACTATAAAACGTGTTTAGAGTTGAGTGAAAAATAAAGCTTTCTGTACTTAAGTTAACTAGACAGGAGTAGCATCCATGCATGTCACTTGCAAACATCTCTTATTTACTAGACTCATCTTTAACAGTGCATTACAGCATAACTACAATTTCAAAATTGCTCAGAAGTAAGACTAGATGTTTTGTTCATTTTTAATTAGTTGATTTTTGTGTTTAGCTGAAAAAACCCAAAACAAAAACCCAACAAAAAACCCCAAAACAAACAGAAAAACTCCACAGGCCAAAACTAAAACGGACCTTAAAATTATCAGCATATAATTTTTCTTATTAGCAGGAATACTTGAGCCAATAACTCTCATTATGATTGTAGAAAACCAAACCTAACAGATCCCTATTTATAACTGAGATAAGTACTGCTGTAAACATTATGATCTTCTGTTTCATTAAATAATCTTACCTGCCTTCCCCACCCCAGGAAGAATTTGGAGTAATCACCACCTCCCGACAATTATCTGTATCTGTGTTGTACACATAAAGTTTTAATGGTTTTGCTTCATGTGTTTCGATAAGGGAGAAGAGATCTTCAGACTGCAATGTAAACACAGGAATATTTCAAAATCAGGGGGGTTTGTTTTGTTTTTTTTGTATTGTAATTTTAGTATACCTAAAATCATGGAGACTGGCATCTTATTGCCCTCAATCCTGCAGAGCACAAGTGCTAAACATATAGCCCATGTACTGGATCTGGCCTGCAAAGCCCCACCATCCAGTCCCCAGTGCTGCCCCTGGGTCTGATCAGACCCACAGGAACAACAGCACATGACCCTGGCTTAAGGCTGATCCACAGGCTGAATGAGAGCTCTTCACCTACTCCTCCCCAGCGTACCTGATCCAGAGGCTTCTGCTCTGGCCAGACTGCACTGTGGTGCCCACTCCAGCTACTCCAGGATACATACCCCACACAGCCCATGTTCCAAACTGGCCAGTGGCTGCCAGATCAGGTATGCTGGGGAAGGGGGAGGGCCCTGGACCTGATAGAGTCTGTGGACCAACCCCATTGCACTCATCCAGCCTGCAGACCCACATAAGTTTGACATCCCTGCTGTACAGCATGGCATTTAGGAGACATTTAGTGCAACCCTGAAACTTTATCACATACAGCAAAGTTTAACATGCAGTATTATTTTGTTATCTACATCCTCAGACTCAAAGATAAGTTAGCTTCTACATCTGGTAAGACACCTCAAGCTACATATTAAAGTTAACTACAAAAATAAGTGCGCAGATTTGACTTTTAATACTGGTTATTAATAAAGCTTCCCAACTAATTGCATACTAATCCCATTTGACTGTATGAGGGACCTTTATGTAGTGCTCTGAACACCAGCTGTGTGTGTACTCTAAAAGGGCAGGCACTCAGTGTCAGAGCTCCCCTCCCCAAGTGGCAGTTTACTGTTAGCATTGGACAAAAGGAAATACGGGGGTTAAGATAACACTGAGGCCATTGTAATATTTCAGTCATTGGCACTGACCTTAATTTTTGCCAGATGCGGCACGGGTGGCGTGAGGCTCCCAAGGGAACAAAAGCAGGCTGGGGAGCCCAGAGCTCGCTGCAGATAGCCTGCATCCACCCTGTCCCATGCACAAATCTGAAGGGCATATGCCCCACCATCCCCCTCTCTGGGAGTGCACACAGTGGCAGGGAGCTGGCTACCCTTCTCCCCATCACCTATGGACAAGGCTCCTGTGGCTGTCGTGCTCCCCACCCTAGTCCCGGGCCCCATGCACCACCCCACCTGGGCAGTGCCCCCAGGCCTAGCCCCTGTCTCACTCCCTCCCTCAACTTCTGACCCCCTTCCACCCTCTCCCCCC